AAAATGAATTACTTGTCTTATTATTGAATTTTAGGGTCCTTTATATATTCTAGACACAAGTCCTATACAGATATACACTTTGCAAATATTTTGTCCCTGCGCACAACTCACATTTTCATTTTTGTAAAAATGTCTTTTGACGAGCCTAAGTTTTAAAATAAGGTCCAGTTTATCAATTTTTGAATTTTATAGTATGTCCTTTTGGAGTACTAATTAAGAAAATTTTGCCAAACCCAAAGTCACTAAGATTTTCTCCTATTTTCTTCTACAGGTTTTATATTTTTAGCTCATACAGTTAGGTCCATGATCCATTTTGAGTTCATTTTTGTATATAGCATGAGATGGGAGATAAGCATAGCCCCCTTCACTGTTTCATTTACTTCTAAGGGCTGAATAACTTATACAAATTGGACTGTAAGATCCAGAAAGTTAAAAAAATCAGATTTTCCCCACAGTACTGTATTATGGTCATTATTTGTATGCATGATCCTCAAGCAAATATTCAGCATCATTTTGGTGTTATGTATAGTCATATTTAAGTTATTTGAAATATGGTAATCAACTTGTGCTACACAGAAATGCATTTTACCAGAACATCACATTTATCTGATATACTTATTTTGACCATTCAGGATAAACAGGAATTTCCTTCAAATATTTTTAAAATTTTATAATAATCTAAGCAGAGAGTGTATAATGCCACTGTATTCATTTTCTATGCTGCATAACATATTGCCACAGACCTAGTGGCTTGAAACAATGCACATTTACTGTGTTATGATTTCCGCACATCAGAAGTTCAAGCCTGGCTTAGATGAGGCCTCTGTTCGGGGTCTCAATAGGCTGCATTAAAGGTGCGACCAAGGGCTCAGTTCTCATCTGGAGAACTGATAATACTGGTGATACGAGGTCTGATAATTAAGTTCAGGAACTTGTTGCAACAATGTTGCTAACCTTATTTGATATCAGAGGGATTATTCATTATGAATTTGTACCAACTGAACAAACAGTTAACCAGGTTTACTATTTGGAAGTGCTGAAAAAGCTGTGTGAAAAAGTTAAATGGTCTGACCTTTTCGCCAACAATTCATGACTCTTGCATCACGACAGTACATCAGCTCACACGGCACTGTCTGTGAGGGAGTTTTTAGCCAGTAAACAAATAACTGTATTGGAACACCCTCCCTACTCACCTGATCAGGCCCCCAATTACTTATTTCTTTACCTGAAGATAAAAGAAATATTGAAAGGAAGACATTTTGATGACATTCAGGACATCAAAGATAATACGACAACTCTGATGGCCATTCCAGAAAAAGTTCCAAAATTGCTTTGAAGGGTGGACTAGGCGCTGGCATCGGTGCATAGCTTCCCAAGGGGAGTACTTCAAGGGTGACCATAGTGATATTCAGCAATGAGGTAGGTAGCACTTTTTCTAGGATGAGTTCACGAACTTAATTTTCCGACCTCGTGGATCTACTTCTGAGCTCACTCAGGTTGTTGGCAGAATTTATTTCCTTGCAACTGTAGGACCAAGGATCTGGCTACTTGCTGGTTCTCAGCCAGAGGTTACCCTCAGCTCCTAGAAGGCGCCTGCAGTTCCTCGCTATGTGGCCCTCTCAATAGGCCCTCTCACAATATGGCAGCTGGCTTCTTCAAAGCCACCAAGGGAGAGTGAGCCTACTAGCAATGTGGAATCTATACACTGTAACACAATCATGGGAGTGACATCTATCATCTTTGCCAGGTTCTACTCATTAGAAGCAAGTCACAGGTCCCACTCACACTTCAAAGGGAGGGGATCACACAAAGGCATGAACACCAGGGTGCAGGGAGCGTTGGGAGCCACCTTATTTTTTTTTATGGAGAATTTCACACATATGCAAAAGTAAAACAATATAATGAACCTTCATGTGTCCGTCACCCATACCTAACAGCCACCAACCCTTGGCCAGTCTTGCCCCATGCACACCCTCATCTACTCCCCCCGCATTTCTTTTTAGCTGAGCCATCCTGCCACCTGTTGGCAGCTCAGTGGCAGCTCAGCTCAGGCCGGGAATCGAACCACTAGTTGCTCAGAGAGCCACTCGGCCGGCCCTACTCTTCCCTCTTGAATTATTTAAATGATAGGGCTTCCTATCATTTCATCCATAAATATTTCTTTCTATCATCTATCACCTATCTATCTAATCTATTTTTTTAAGTATAACCACTCCATCATTATCTTACCTAAAAATTACCAGTAATTCTTTAATACCAAATCTTCAGTGTTCCAATTTCCAGTTGCCTTATGTCATCATTAATAGTTTGAACCCAAATCCGAATAATGTCCTTATATTACAATATGTCGATATGTCTTTTGAATCTCTTTTTTTAATCTGCAGGTCCCCCTTCCATCTCTCTCTCTTTTTTTTCTTAAAGTTTATTTGTTGAAGAGACAGCGTTCCTCCATTTTTTCTGGTCCTGCAGAGTTTCCCAATCTGCAAATTTCTGACACATTACAGTTTGTAAAAGTGAGTTATTGCAGAATCAACTCCACAAATACTCTTCAAAGATTTATTAAATGGCCTTTTTCTCAGTAACTTTGTCATCTTTCTGTACTTTTTTTTCTTTACTTTTCTTTCCTTCCTGCTTCCTGAATCCATTTATCTCGATCACCTCTGAATCAATAACAAAAAGTTCTGCAAAACTGCCATCTGCTTTCCCCTGGGGTTTATATCTTAAAACAAATTTTCCTCAATTGATTCAAATTGAATAAGAACATTGAAACCAAGGATCCCTTGTTAGGCAGTTTGTTATTTCAAAGCATTTTCTATTTACTGTGCCTTATTTGGAATACAGGATAATCCCATGAAGGCAATTCTGTTTGTTCAAAATGGTGTATAATTAGAAATAATTGCAATTCCCTATTTGACATAAAGCCTCTCAAGTTGTTTTATTAGAGAAATTTAATTTATTAGAAACATTTTACCATCTGAATCTATTAATGTAACATTTCTTTTAATTTATCTTCCAAATTAATAAGGTTTTACTACATCAAGAAATAATCACAACTTTAAATCTAAGTTTTAACAATCATTCAACTGAAGTTTGCATTGATTTATTTTCATTTATTTTGATAACAGCAATATAATACATGCGTGTAGTTTAAAAAGTCAGTAAGGCTCTTAGGCTTATAAAGAAACAAACAGGGCCAGCTGAGTGGCACATTGGTTAGGAGTTGGCTTGGGACGCCAGCTCTGAGCAGCAGGGCCCCGGTTTGGATCCCACATATGAGGGCCAGTGANCCCGGTTTGGATCCCACATATGAGGGCCAGTGACACTGCCCTCTGCAGCTAAGATGCTGAACAACAGCTCAACCTGGAGCTGGGCTGCTGTGAGTCACCGGCTCACCGGCGACAGCAACGGCGACAGGGTAGGCTGCAGCGGGGCTGGCCAGCAGGTGGCGTGCGCTTTCATGAGCTGCCAGTGAGTGGCCGTCCAATGGCCGGCGAGCAACTGCCTCACCCAAGAAGACTGCAATGATAATGCCAACATGGGCCAGTGAAGCGATGTCCTCCACAACTAGACTGAAGAACAAAGGGAGAGCAACTTGTCTGTTCCCCTTCCCCGATTCCCCAATAAAAAAAAATCTAAAAAAATAAAAAGAAACAAACAAACCAGCAGTCCCTTTCCCTACCTGCCCCAGACCTGAGTCTTGTTCCCGGTAGGTACTCAGCACTTGACAATCAACTTTCCAAAATGTTGTTGACATCTCTCATCCACTGTCCTTGCCTGTCTTATTTCCTCTGCCCTTTGCAGATTAAACCTTTTTCATTCTTTCTCTAATTTTTGTGGTGTTTGGGAGGAAGTGGAGATAAATGTGTGTATATGTGTTCAGTTCGCCATATTTACCGTGTAGTTTGCCATAGTTTTACTTTCTAGTTCCTTCATTGAGAGTCCAGAATGGTGTAAAAGTTAGTACCCAGCCTCTCTTCCCCCACCCCAATATCTCCCTCTTATTTGAGGCGCTGGGTCTTTGGGCTGGCTCAGCAAAAGTGTCCTCCTGTCATTGTTGGTGCTCTCTCCTGGCTCTCAGGGGGGTTGTGGTGAAGTGTGTCCCTCTTCTTCATGGAATGGCACTTCCCAGAGCACCGTATGCCATTGTGAGAGTGTCTGTTGTGGCCTCTTTACCCTTAACCTTTCTCCTTAGGAAGGACTATAGTGTTGGTCGCTTGCCTCTAACCCCAAGCACCACCCTCACATGTAACTTCTGTACCCCAACTCTCCTCCCTTTGGGGCATGTGTTCCTCCACCCCAATTCTTCTGATACCAAAGAGTTAGGGAGTGACCTTTGTGCAGTGGTATGCTGGTAAATGTTTAGCAATTGGCCCTTCAGCAGGAAATAAGTTCTGATTTCTAGCATTTGCCAATTTCCGTGATGTAAATATTCCTACCAAGTCTGACTTCAGGCTACCAGTGTGAGTTGGAGGTGGGAAGAAAGGTGTATAACTTTCTCTTTGAGCAGTACGAGCTACTCCTGCACAACACTGCCTTGGGGAGCAGGACTCGGGAGTCTTCATTCAGAATTGCCAGACTGAAGGAAGAAGTCATTTGTCCTTTTCATTGAGCTCCTCAGTTACTCCCCGCCTGATACCCCCACTGGGCTGACCCTGCCAACCGTTTGGTTATGCCTGTTCTGCCTGAATTTGCTGGCTCAGACACCTGAGACTCCACTCTGGGTCAAGGGAACTCCCCAGTGCTCTGTGTTTGTCTTTCCTGTTGGCTGAAAATGTATGTTCTGCGTTAATCTTAATTTTGTTATGTTTTTACTCTGCTTTGATATCCCCAGAAGAACCTCTTTGTAAAATTAATGTCATGCACTAATATGAAACTGATGATATATAGACATTGTGTTTTATGCAGGTAAACTTTCTTATGGTGCTATACTGATGGAAGAATCAGGTAATTGGGATTCCTTATTCTGCAATTCTGTTGACGATGTTTTCTTTCTTCCATAGTTGACAGACCTGTCAGAGTATATGCAGATGGAATATTTGACCTCTTCCACTCAGGCCACGCAAGGGCACTTATGCAAGCAAAAACACTGTTTCCCAACAGCTACTTGTTGGTAGGAGGTAAGAAGTGCATTTTCTCTTTGTCTAGAAAACTCTTTTATAATGTGCTTCCTGAAAAGGACCCCCTTTCAGAGTTCCATCATTAAAAGGTCACATTGTTAAAGCTCCCAATTTAGCCCATGTTGGCTCACTTGTTCACTGCCTGAAATTTAAAATGACGTGTAAAAAGAAAAAAACCATAGGGAAAATGACATCATGTGATTAAACAGCACCAATTCCCAGAGAGAGAGACAGACTAGTAATACCACCAAGGGTAACTGCTTCAGGTTTTCTATTAATGCCTTTCTCGCGTTTTGAGGCATGATCCAATTTATGTTTCTAAAATTTTCTAGAGGGTTAGGAGAAAACCAATATTATCTTGATGTCATATCTTGGGGAGCTACAGGGGTTCAGAATGATTAAGGGTAAACAAGGTCATTGTCTATTTCCTTTGTGTGACCCACAGCAATTAGGATGATGTTGTGCTAACATTAGTGGCTTACAACAGTCCTGAATAGTAGAAGTTATGCACAGTGTGTTAAAGAAATGGAGATTTATAATCCCAAGTAATCTTGGTTCACAATGAAGGAACTGACTTGCTTTGTAAGCATGTTGAGGGAGAAGGGTGGTTAGATGGTTAGCTGTGGCTTGACATTTTCCACCTCCAGAAGGCCTACAGATTTTAGTTTGGGTAAAAGGGATAGTACCTGACTAGGAGGCCTGTGTCTCACCTCTGTAGCTTCTGGAAGCAGCGTATCCTTACACCACGATCAGTTTTTGTGGCATTAACATGAACTAGGCACCATCGCCCCTTAGACCTACAATGTGCAAAGAAAGGTGCTGGTAAGAGACTGTGTGTCTGTTTTTTAAAGTGTTTTGTTATCCTCTGCAAGTTTAAAACTACTTTTTGAATGTTTAAGAGGAACCCATCTGCCGATTTGCTGAGGATGGTGACCATGTGGGTTATTGAATGGAGTTCTTTCTAGAAGGAAGAGATGATAAAAGGCAAGGGTTACTGAACAAGTCATGCTGAGGGAACCCAAGGCAAGTAGAGAACCTATCCCTTGTTCATTTCCCTTTATCTTGAGTGGAAAACCACTTCTTGAGTGAGCACTACCACCTGTAGTCTAGTCCTAAGCTGCTGGGGCCCTGGCAAGACCTTTGCAGTATTTGGGCTTTGGTCATTTTGGTGACTCAAGTTTGTAGGAGTTAGGTGTGGGTGACACTTACCAGGAACACTAGCCATGGCCCTGGGTTATTATACCAAAAGTAAGATCAAAGGACTATGTAGCTTTCAGTACATTCTTATAAATTGGAGAAAGCAGTAAATCAATAACAGCAATTCTCTAGGTCGTTATGCAACAATGGTTTCATGGATTCACCGAATGACCCCTACATTTAATAGCTATTTACTGAGCTCCTACTATGCGCCAGGCACTCTTCTGTACACTGAGGATGCGGCCATGAACATGAGACTATGTCCTCAGAAAACTTAGAGTCTGAGGAAGAGGAAGACATTGCCCAGTAAACAAGTAAATATGTAACAATGGTACTATGAAGAAATATGAAATAGGGTAAGGGGAAAGAGTGACTGGTGGGGTATTTTAGGTAGGGAGGTCAGGAGAGGCCCCTCTGAAGTGTTTGCACAGAGACCTGAGTGAAGTAAGGGCACACAAAAGCCAGGACATAGAACTTTCTCTGTGCAGCGTTCACACCAGTCAGGACAATAACATTGGGACAAATGGAGAAGACATGTCAGCTATTGCAATATGCTATTTTATTAATGTGTACATCTTAGGAAGGCTTTCCATAAAAACACATATGATTTAATACTCAGAGAAATTAATATGAACAGGAGTTCAGAGCCAAGAATTAAAGCAGAAGAAGGGGAGAAGAACTCCAACAAGAAATCCAGAACTTAGCAAAAGGAGCGACACAGTTATTCCATAACTCTAGCCCTCAAATGCTAGAGCTGATACTGCAGCATTAGGAAGAACTCTCTTTTCCTGCCCTGAGTGCTGAGATAAGTGTTCAGGATGGTTGCTGCATAAGGGGCACTGATTAATCTAATGAACAATGTCCTCTATAGCAGGTTTACAAAGCAATGCAGCTATCCCCTCAGTGGCTATTACGTGGTTTCTCCATGGAAGCCAAGGTCATGTTCAATTAAGATTACCATTGAGACCATATCTTTTGGTAGGTGACAGGGACTAGAGTATGGATGGGAAATGAAGCAGCACTACACAAAGCTATAAAGAAGTGGTGTGTAGACTTTTGAGGACAGTGACAGAGTAAAAGTGAAAAACCACAAGCAACATAAACAACAAATAATAAATAATTTCAATATGTTATTTTCTCCACTGATTTCTTATTCTTATTATTCTATTTGAAATAATTGGATGGCAATACTATGAAATATTTTTATGAGACTGAAGCGCTACCTACTGCGCTAACGAGGCACCTTGAAATATTTTTAAACCACTTTTTCTAGTTTCCTAAGGTGAAAGCTGAGATTATTAATTTTATATTTTTCTTCTAAAAGATATATACATTCAGTGCTATAAATCTCCCATTAAGCTCTGTTTTCCATACGTCCCAAAAATTTTGATAAGTTGTGTTTTCATTTTCATTTAGTTTAAAATATTTAAATATTTCTCTTGACCTGTGTGTTATTTAGAAGTGTGTTGTTTAATCTACAAGTATTTGGGGATTTTGCAGCTGACTTTTTGTTATTGCTTCCATTATAGTCTGAGGTCAGATACTGTATAATTTCTGTTTTTTTTAATTTGTTAAGGTGTGTTTTATGACTCAGAATGTAGTCTATCTTGGTAAATGTTCTGTGTGAGCTTGAGAAGAATGGGTATTCTGTTGTGGTTGGATGAGCAGTCTGTAGATGTCAGTTATATCCAGTTGATTGATGGTGCTGTCCTTATTCATTTTCTGACTGCTAGATCTGTCTATTTCTGATACGGGGTATTAAAGTCTCCAACTATAATAGTAAATTCATATATTTCTCTTTACAGTTCTATCAGTTTTTGCCTCATGTATTTTGTTAGGCACATACACATTAAGGATTATTATGTTTTCTTAGAGTATTGACCCCTTTATTTTATGTAATGCTCCTATTTATTCTTGATAACTTTCCTTGCTCTGAAGTCTGCTCTGTCTGAAATTAATGTAGCTAATCCCACTTTCTTTTGGTTATTGTTAGCATGCTGTATCTTTCTCAATCCCTTTACTTTTAATGTATCTGTGTCTTTATATTTAAAGTGGGTTTCTTGTAGATGACATATAGTTTGGGTCTTGTTTTTTGATCCACTCTGACAATCTCTGTCTTTTAATTGGTGAATTTAGACCACTGACATTCAAAGTGATTATTGATATAGTTGGTTTAAAATCTACCATATTTTTTTCTGTTTTATATTTGTTGCCTTTGTTCTTTGTTTCTATTTTTGTCTTACACACTCTTTTTGCCTTTTGTTGTTTTAATTGACCATTTTATATGATTCTGTTTTCTTTCCTTTCTTAGCATATCATTTATACTTCTTTAACTTTTTTAGTGGTTGCCCTACGGTTTGCAATATATATTCTAAATCAATCCAAGTCCACATTATTTCAAATAATGCTATACCAATATCGCAAGTACCTTCTAATGACTAAATATTTCTAAATTCCTTCCTCTCATCCCTTGTATCATTCATTTCACATATATGTAACCATATATATGTAATACATGATTTTGTTTAGCTGAGCCATCCTGCCACCTGTTGGCAGCTCAGTGGCAGCTCAATTTGGGCCGGGAATTGAACTGGCGACTCTGTTGCTCAGAGCTCACACTCTTGAGCGAGCTCTTAACCAACTGAGCCACTCCGCTGGCCCTGTAATACATAATTGAATACATTATTGCTATTATTATTTGGAACAAACTGTTATCTGAATTAAAAATAAGAAAAATAGCCTTTTCCATGCGGCCTCTGCCAGGGTTGGAGTACCCAAATGGAGCTCCAGACACATGCAAGAGGGCCAGCTATGGACTTTGGACAGATGCAGTGCCAGGATGACTTGAAAGCAGGGCATCCTTGGCCCTCCTAAAGAGAGAAAATTAATGGCAGGTGGACAGTCTGTGTATGGAGTTTGCAGATGCCTTCACCTGAATGAGAAACCTGCCTCTGTCACAACCTCAGAAGCCTGACAGCCAGCCCTGTGTGACACCGAGATAATATACACCTAAGGAAGAGGTCCTAAGAAACAACAGCAGATCAGACAACCAAGATGGCACAGTAGGTAAACGCTGTGTTTACCTTCTCTCACAACCACATGAAAATTACAACTAATCTACAAAACAACCTTTATTGAGAATCACCTAAAATCAAGCTGAACTTCAACTAAGGTCATGCAGAAGAAGCCACCTCCAGGCTGGGTAGGAAGGTCGGAGACACTGCACGGGCTGGTCCCACACCCACGTGTGACCATTAAAGAACGGGAGGGCGATTTTGGCTGTGGGGGGTCCCCCATACTCTAAAAGAGCGAGAGACACCAGCCCCACCCCAGCCCAGGGTTCCTGAGCCGGGGAGAGAAGTCCCCCTAATTTCTGGTTGTGAAAACCAGTGGAGGTTGTGATTGAGTGAGACTGAGTGCGGCTGCACTCACAGGCACTCTTCTTAAAGGGACCGCAGGCAGACTTACCAATGGAATCACTGGCTCTGAGCTCCAGCGCTGGGGGCGCAGCTGGAGAGGCGGGCAGAGACATACTGCGGGGACCTGAGTTGTCTGGCTTGGGACGGGGCTGGAGAGGTGGCTTTCTCCTGGACGAAGGAGCTGGTGGAGGCCATTATTTCTTTGCTGAGCCCTCCCCCTTCCTGGCATGGGGACACAAGTGGCCACCATATCTGAGCCTCCAAGGTTCGTTCGCCCCACCCTGGCCATATAAGACCTGGCCCCTCCCAACTTTTGGGCACACCCAGGCTGCTTTCAATGGCTTTTTCATGCAGACCACCTGCCTTCGCTGAAGCTGCACTTTC